GCACAGGCTAGATAGCTAACGTTTCAGGCAACCTAATTCAGCTGTACGCGTGTACAGACACAGCTGTACTTACGTACAGATAATTAAGTATAAGCTTTTTTAAATTATTAAAGTTTTTTTTACTTTAATTTTCTTTTTTTTATATAATTTATATTATATAGTAGCTGTATTAGCTTTTTAAAACTTAGTAATTTTTTATTATACTAATACTAGCTTATATATAATTATTACTACTTTTTTAAAAACTTTTTTAAACACTTTAACTATAAAAGTTAGTAAACTATTTATATACTTATAAATTTTAATTTTTATAAGCATTAATTATAACTTAAGTTTTAAAGTATTACTTAGAGTTTATAACTACTAGAGCTTATTATATATAAGTAGTAGTAGTAATAAAGTGTGTAACTTTATATTAAAGCTTATTATAACTTATTATAAGTTAAAAAAAACTAATTTAGCGCTTTAAAACTTTTTTTAAATATTACTAAAAGTAATTATAGCATTATAAGCTACTTTAAAGTAACGTACTTCATAGGCGAGTTGCTCACACACCTAAGTCGCTCACTTTTGCCAAGACCCCACCCTAACAAACTCTATTATAGCCTATAACAACCTGCTCTAGCACTATATAGTACAGTACAGCCTAGAATATTATTTAGATACTACTTCTGCTTCTTACTTATACATTTGCGTGTTATGCCTAGTCTAATTGCACTGTCTGCAGCGCCTTTAGAATAGCTTACCTACTTTAGCTTACACCTGCTTCTTTACCTTCTTTCTATTACTGCGCGCTTTAAACTCCTTTAGAGCTGTTAAGCATAAGCTTTTTTAAATTATTAAAGTTTTTTTTACTTTAATCTACTTTTTTTTATGTAATTTATGTTATGTAGTAGCCTTATTAGCTGCTTAAAGCTTAGTAATTTCTTATTACACTAACACTAGCTTATGCGTAATTATTACTGCCTTTTTTAAGACTTTTTTAAACACTTTAACTATAAAAGTTAGTAAACTATTTATATGCTTTTAAATTTTTATTTTTATAAGCATTAATTATAACTTAAGTTCTAAAGTATTACTTAGAGTTTACAACTACTAAGGCTTATTATATATAAGTAGTAGTAGTAATAAAGTGCATAACATTACATTAAAGCTTATTATAACTTATTATAAGTTAAAAGAAACTAATCTAGCGCTTTAAACCTTTTTTTAAATATTACTAAAAGTAATTATAGCATTATAAGCTACTTTAAAGCATAGTAGAAACTTTATTTTTATAATATAAGTAATTTAGTTATATATAAAGTTTTTAGCTTAGCGCCTATACACTTTTTTTAAAGAAGTAAAACAACCTACATTAAGTAGCTATAAAAAGTGTATTAAGTAAAAAAGTATATAAATAGTAATAATTTTATTATCTTTATAGTATTACTAAAAATAAAGTAAGTTATAGCTTTTATAGCTATTAATAACTA